TGAAAAAGTTGTCCCATTAACGGGGCATCTCCCTTAGCCGATGGAAGATAGAAAAGAAACCAGAATAACAGAGCTGGTTGGAACCTTGGAGGTCATCTAGTCCAACCCCCTGCTCAGGCAGGAGACCCTATACCGTTTCAGACAAATGGTTGTCCAGTCTCTTCTTTAAAACCTCCAGTGTTGGAGCACCCACAATTTCTGGAGGCAGGTTGTTCCACTGGTTAATTGTTTCCACTGATTAATTTCTCCTTAGTTCTAGAGTTGCTTCTCTCCTTGATCAGTTTCCATCCGTTGCTTCTTGTCCTGCCTTCAGGTGCTTTGGAGAATAGCTTGACACACACACACACATCTTCTTCATGGCAGCCCCACAAAGACTGCTATCGTGTCACTCCTGGTCCTTCTTTTCATTAAACTAGACATACTCAATTCAAGATTGTGGGTAGGTGGGTAATCTTTATGATCGAATTCTAGCCATTGCACCTAGATAATAAAAATCAAATTGGTAAGTGCCCCATTCATGGGAATTCCGCTCTACTAAATGAGACATTTTTTTCTAGTTAGTTTATAGGTGGTCCTCAACGTACAATTATTCATTTAGTGACCGTTTGAAGTTCCAGTGGCACTGAAAAAAAAATGACATGACTCTTTTTCACATTTAAATCCATTGCAGCATCCCCACAGTAATGTGATCAAAATCTGGACACTTGGCAACAGGAATGTATTTATGATGGCTGCAATGTCCTGGGGTCGTGATCACCTTTTATAATTTATATTTTTATATTTATACAAATTTAAATTTATGATTTATATTGTTTTATTTAGTATCCTAGTATGGTTTATGTTGATTGCTTATTTTAGAATCCTATGACTATCACTAAGTGTTGTATGTTATGATTTATGGTGAATTTTTACAATGACTATGATCATGAGACAAATTCCTTGTGTGTCCAGTCACACTTGGCCAATAAAGTATTCTATTCTATTCTATTCTATTCTATTCTATTCTATTCTATTCTATTCTATTTCCTGTCTTATATCCTATATCCTATATCCTATATCCTATCCTATCCTATCCTATCCTATTCTATTCTATTTGCAAAATAGAACAAAACTCACTTAACAACTGTTTTGCTTAGCAATGGAAATTTTGGGCTCAATTGTGACCATATGTCGAGGACTATATGGTTAGATTCCTTACAGTTTGCATCCCTTTTTGGAAAATCAGATGGGATCTCAGGGTGAAAATAAGGTGGGGTGTGGGAGCCTGAATTTCTACCTCATGTAACAGCACCAATACATGGAACAGAAAAGCAGATCCGAAAATGTTCTGTCCAAAATAAAATCCATACCAAGTTTTCAGTTTGACTCAAAGCAGTAGCCCTTTTTGCCCTACTTCGGAAATTAACCAGGATAATTTCTCTTTCATAAAACAGGACCAAATCTCTTTAGAGGATTGGATCCAACAATAATAAAAATAAATTGCCATGCTTGTGCCAGATATTAAACCCACATGGAGTGGAATTATCTCTCCTTGCCCGTCTTATCTGTCCTTTGAAGTACTAGGTGAGATCGTCTATTTCCACCTTCCAAAGACAGGAGTAAAAAACGCGGGAATGCGTGTGTTCCAGGGAAGGATGCTCTTTCAAAAGACTATGAGCTAAAAAAAAAAGAAAAAAAATCAAAGTTTTAAATTAGATAAGGAAGCATCCGAGCCCAAAAGAAAGCTTACCCCCCAAGTAGGTTTTCACATCCTTCTGTTGAGATAAGAATGATCAAAGCATTTAAACACTGCCAAGAGAAATGTAATGCAAAGAGAGAGAAAGAGAGAGAAATTTTATATATATATATATATATATATATATATATATATATATGTAGGTCTTTGATTGTTCGGGTTTTCTCCCACGTAAAATTGGAAGTGTCTTGGCGACGTTTCGACGAAGTCCCATTCGTCATCTTCAGGCTGGTGTTTTTAGCTTCGTGCTTTGAGCAGCAAGCTGAAAACACCAGCTGCTCGAAGCACAAAGCTGAAAACACCAGCCTGAAGATGACGAATGGGACTTCGTCGAAACGTCGCCAAGACACTTCCAATTTTACGCGGGAGAAAACCCAAACAACCAAAGACCTACATATATATATATATATGTATATATATGTATGTACATTTTTTAGATTGCTAACAAAGAATAAAGGGAGAACTGGAATATTTCGAGCTTCTTAACTCTCTTCAGCTAGACATACCCTTCTGACACTCGAACCTGGGCTGTGTGCATGTTAGGCACGAAGCCGAAAACACCAGCCTGAAGATGATGAATGAGACTTCGTCGAAATGTCACCAAGACACTTCCAATTGAAAGTGTCTTGGCGACGTTTCTGAGTTCTTATGTTCTTCAACAGAAGAATAAGTGCACGCATTGAAGATACCAACAGAAGAATGTGCATGCATTGAAGAACATAAGAACTCAGTCAAAAAAGAGGAACCAATTTCTTCCCTGGTCCAACACCTTAAAATCACAGGACATAAAATTGACTTTAAAAAGACCAGAACTATCGCCAAAACTGAACACTTTAATAACAGAATAATCAGAGAAGCCATCGAGATAGAAAAACGCCCACACAGCATGAAGAAACGAGATGATACCTCCTGCCTACCAGCCATTTGGAAACCCGCCCTTATTGAAAAACGAGTCCCTAACACAAAGAATGACACCAGTCACATACTCACGAAAGCCACACAGGATGTCACCACCACACGTCCACGCAAAAAGCAAACCCATACCCACACCGATGATGAGGCACGACCACAAACCAGAAGCCAGACCACAGCTGCATCATTAGCTGCTTTAAACCCCTCCAATCCATACCTGAAGCAAACTGACACCCACCATGAAGATGAGGCACGACCACGAACACGAAGCCAAACAATAGCAATGCTCACCATCTCACATCCCCCTGCAACTCAGATTAACCTGAGCACAACAAAGCCCCCACCCAAACAGAACACTTCCCCATCCAATCAGAGCACAGCCAACCCCCCATCCAATCAGAGCACAGCCAAGCTCCTAACCAATCAGAACACACCTCCATCCAATCAGATCACAGCCAAGCTTTCATCCAATCAGTTCATACCCCCACTGGCAGTTAAAAGGAAGAAACAGCTACGATCACACATTGCTCCTAGAAGCACGAAGCCAAAAACACCAGCCTGAAGATGACGAATGAGACTTCGTCGAAACGTCGCCAAGACACTTCCAATTTGACGCGGGAGAAAACCCGAATAACCAAAGACATACATACATACATACATACATACATACATACATACATACATATGATTTTATATGTATCCAGTTGCCTAGCAGCTGGAATTTCTAGGAGGGATCTAATTGGCTCAGGTCAAAAATAAGACCTGGAGTTTTTATCGAGTATTGGCAAAACATAGTAATGTGAATTTTCCCTCCTTTATTTTTTGTCTTGTTCTTCCTCCCCTCCTCCTCCTCCTCCTCCTCCTCCTCCTCCTTCTCTTTTAATTTTTATCCTGCAGGAAAATTAATTGCAGAAGATGGGGGGTAGCTAAGGGGAATCAAGAAAGGACTGCTTTTATTCAATTTGCATTTCCCAGAATAAAGATTCTGCCAATTTGTTGAGGATTAGAGCATAAGCTTTCAGATCTCCTCCAGATACATTAAAATTCCCACACCCGCCATTTCGTTATTTAAAGTCAAACGTTAATGTTGTTTATACAGCGCTGTAGAAGTGTAGAACTAGAGAAATTCTAAGGAAGTAGCTAGCAATTTTATTTTTTTTAAAAAAATAAAGGAAATAAAATCCCGGTCTATAAAAACCTTTTAGTTGTTTGTGACTTGCTTTTGAAACACGATTCTTCAACTTTAGCAACTTTCAGATGGGTGGACTTCAACTCCCAGCATTCCCAGACAGCATGGGTGGAGCAACTTCCAGAATGCTGACTGGGAAATTTTAGGAGTTGAAGTCCATTGGTCATCAGTCAAGGACTACTTATAAATGAGGGAGAAAAGCATAGCAAAGAATGAAGATGTTCCAAGCTTGTGCAAAATTGGTTTTTGATAAGGCTTTAAAAAGTTTACATTACATTGACAAATTATTTATGTCTATTTGCATCTCCGCAGTTCCTGTAATTAATATTGCTGGATGTATTCTATTTGGGAAACTGTTAATTATAACACATTTTTGCAAGTGCAAAAAAAAAAAAATTATGTCTCTAATGCTAAAGATTTTACTTCAGGTGTTGAGTCAGAAATCTTCCATTTCCAACACTTCTCTTGGTGAAATATTCATGAGTCATAAATATTTCTTGTGCCTTAAAATGATGAGGATGATGAGGATGAAATCTTCACTCATAGTATCAGTTTCTCCCCATCTTGTTAGGAAACCCTGGTTGTTCTGCCACAATTATATTACAGCCATGGATTTGCTAATTACATTGCACCCAGTATGGTGCAAATTACACAGCTGAATATATTTGGAATCAATTATTTGTGGTTTGTTTATGGTGGAAGAAAGGAAGGAAGGAGAAAGGGAGAAAGGAAGAAAGAAAGAAAGAAAGAAAGAAAGAAAGAAAGAAAGAAAGAAAGAAAGAGAAAGAAAGAAAGAGAAGGAAGGGAGGGAGGGAGGAAAGAAAGAAGAGAGAAAGGAAGGAAGGAAAAAGAGAGAGGAAGAAAGAAAAGAGAAAGAAAAAAGAAAAGAGAGACAAGGAATGAAGGAGAAAAAGAGAGAGGGAGAGAAAGAAAAGAAAGAAAGAGACAAGGAAGGAAGGAAGGAGAAAAAAGGGAGAGAGAAAGAAAAGAAAGAAAGAAAAAAGAAAAAAGACAAAGAAGAAAGGAGAAAGAGAGGAAGAGAAAGGAAGGAAGGAAGGAAGGAAGGAAGGAAGGAAGGAAGGAAGGAAGGAAGGAAGGAAGGAAGGAAGGAAGGAAGGAGTGGTCCCCATTATGGTTCTTATTCAGTTATTCTTTTCTCAACAGGTAAAGTGGAAGTAGAACATATCCAGGACAGGACTGCCTACTTCAAGCATCATTTGATGGATTATTCTTAGATACTTCCAACAGGTAAAGGACCTTCTTCCCCTCAGGATGTTAATGTTCTAGAAGGCTTGGGATACAATGGTTCACACTGCCTTAAAAGAAATACTTATCACTACCTGGGATTTTGGAACATCCAGTTCCAAAGGGGACTGGAGGTTAAAACATATAAGGAAAGGTTGATGGAATTGGATATGTCTAGTTTAATGAAGAGAAGGATGAGGGGGACAGGATAGCAGTCTTCCAGTATCTCAGGGGCTGCCCCAAAGAAGAAGGAGTCAAGGTGTTCTCCAAAGCGCCTGAAGGCAGGACAAGAAGCAATGGGTGGAAACTAATCAAGGAGAGAAGCAACCTAGAACTAAGGAGAAACTTCCTCACAGTGAGAACAATTAACCAGTGGAACAACCTGCCTCCAGAAGCGGTGGATGCTCCAACACTGGAAGTTTTTAAGAAGAAACTGGACAGCCATTTGTCAGAAATGGTATAAGGTTTCCTGCCTGAGCAGGAGGTTGGACGTGATGACCTCCAAGGTCCCTTCCAACTTTATTATTATTATTATTATTATTATTATTATTATTATTATTATTATTATTATTATTACTAGGAGAAAAACAAGGAAGGAAGGAAGGAAGGAAGGAAGGAAGGAAGGAAGGAAGGAAGGAAGGAAGGAAGGAAGGAAGGAAGGAAGGAAGGAAAGAGATGGATGGCTAGAGAGAGAGAGAGACTGAAGATGGATGTATGGATAGATAGATAGATAAACAGACTGATGATGGGTGGATGAATAGATGAGAGAGAGAGAGAGAGAGAGAGAGAGAGAGAGAGAGAGAAGGCATGGTGATCTAGTGGTGGAGATGCTTGCCTTCCATTCAGAAGGCTGAGAGTTCAGTTCTAAGTAGCAGCAGATGTTTCTCTCCCAGGGCGTAAAGAAAAAATATCTGCTGTGAACTCCACATAGGCATGGGAAAGGAATCCGGCCAGTAAAGGCTCAGCTCCATCCAGTCACCCTGACTCTATCCTGAATTAAGGGGATTACAGGATCATAAAAAAGAGAGTGAGGAGAAAAGGTAAAGCTAAGTCAATTGCTGCACTAGAAGAAAAGTGCTAGCTGGAAAATGGGTTCCAAATGGTTTGGTTGGGGGGGGGGGCTCCTCTTTGTCTGGGGACTTACCCTCCTTGATGGTTGCACATTCCTAGACAGACCTGGAGTGTAATCTGGGGGGTCTTTGAGGACCACACAACTCCTGCTTGAGGGCTAGTGGCAGTTGTAGCTAGCAGGCTCTTCGCTCACCTTTGAATTATGTGCCGGGCAGATCCTTTCCTGAATGGGGAGGCCGTCCTCTCAGTCACTCAGTCATTTCCTGGATGGACTCCTGCAATCCGTTCTACACAGGGCTACCCTTGAAGAGTATCTGGGACACAACACTGGAAGTTTTTAAGAAGAAACTGGACAACCGTTTGTCTGAAATGGTCTAGGGCCGGGGTCTCCAACCGTGGCAACTTTGTGGACTTCAACTCCCAGAATTCCTCAGCCAGCAAAGCAACTGGGCTTTCTCATTTTTCCCTGAAGACGTTTCGCTTCTCCTCCAAGAATCTTCTTCAGTTCTGACTGGAGGGTGTGGAATGGAAGAATTTCTATTCCTTGCAGTCATCTGAGAGTCATGGAGGCCATTTTGAGCTTTATCTGGGCCCTCAGGGTCACCTGAACAGTGCGAATGGGCGTGGAGCCTTCTTATGCACAGCGAGTATTTTTCAAGCTTGGTGACTTTCAGGTTTCTGGACTTCAACTCCCAGAATTCCCCACACAGTCTCCTCCTTTCTGCTTCAACGAGGTTTCTATACGAGTAACTTTCTTTGCTCTGCTTTGAGGTAAACCAGGATGGGCAAGCTATAGCCACAGCATCCCATTTGCAGGACCTTTTCATCCCAGATGAAAACAGATGAGCGGAGGTTGAGCAGCTAGTCCTCAATTTACAACCATTCGTTTAGCGTCCGTTCAAAGTTACAATGGCACTGACAAAAGTGACCGTTTTTCACACTTACGACCGCGGCAGCCTCCCTGTGGTCACGTGATCAAAATTCAGAGGCTTGGCAGCCATCATATTTACGACGGTCACAGCGTCCCAGGAGTCACGTGATACCACTTTTACGACCTTCCGACAAGCAAAATCAACTGGGATGCCAGATTCATTTAACAACCCGGTTACTAATTTACAAACTGCAGTGATCCACTTAACAACTGAGTCAAGAAAGGTGATAAAATGGGGACAAAGCTCACTTAACATCCGTCTCGCTTAATAACAGAAATTTGGGGCTCAATTGTGGTCGTAAATTGAGGACTATCTGTATCTGGTTTGTGTGTATAATATGTGTGTGTGTGTGCGCGCGTGCATGCACGGAGCCTCCTCCATCCTATCAGGTGTCTGACTGCATTATCCCTGCATCTTTTTGCCATCTTCTGGCAAGTCTCTGAATATAAGTGACAGTAAATAGATGATACGTTTTTCCCACTTAGCAAAGAATTGATAGACGTGATTGACACTGAGAGAAAGTTCCAGCTATTATGGCTGTTTGGATGGGATGGGCGGGGGTGGGGAAGAAGAAAGATAAAGTTGAACGAAAATGAAGGCCGTGCACATCTCAAGTCAACTATATCTGTCACCTAATATTAATGAAAAGTGCCTGGTAGTTATATGAGTGGGCTCTCTGCTACAAAATACTGTTTTTCCACCTGCCTCTCTTTGCAGATAATAACGTGCTTTGGTGCTACAAAACAGTCCCTCCGAAGAGAATCTCTGTATTTTGACAAATGTTAGTGAATTAAATTGGAAAATAACTGAGTATTACTAGCGTGAGATAGTAAATGACAATTGTTAAGACCCTGGATGTAGTAACTACATCCACCTTTGAGGGACGGTGAACATCTGGAGTGGCTGCCTCCAACTGGGTGGTTCCTAGCTAGGTTGGATTACAACTTCCATGGTTCCCAGACAGCCCGGCAGTGCTGAGTGAAGCTCATGTGTCTTGTAGTCAAACCATTTTGGAGACTTCAGCCGGGATGACCTCACACAGAGCTTCTGGAGGGCAAAAATGGCGTTAATACAAAAATCAGATTTGGGGTGCAATCTCCTGAATGACCACTAGGGGGCAGCAAAGATTTCTGGTTTTGACATTTGCTGCCATCTAGTGGCACAATGTGGTAGCTCTACAAATAAATTTAGCCCCTGTGTGTGCCATAGCATATCAAGCCATGGCATATTCAGAATTGGGCTGCATCAGTGGCTGGCTGGAACGTGCACAGCTCATGAGTGGCAGGCTGGCAGTCACTTGCACATGTGTGTGGTGGGCTGGCCCACCACTCGCATAGCCCAGTTGCCCTCTGCCCCCCTGCAAAGGTTGGAGACCGCTGTGCCATAGTACAGGTAGCCCTCAACTTACAACGGTCCATTTAGTTCAAAGTTACAACAGTATAGAAAATAGTGACTTATTACCAGTTTTCACACTTACGACCGTTGCAGCGTTTCCCACGGTCACGCGACCAAAATTCGGAGGCTTGGCAACTGGCATGGACTTGCGACGGTTGCAATGTCCAAGGTCACGTGATTTATTTATTTATTTATTTATTTATTTATTAAAATTTATAGACCGCCCCACTCCCGCAGGACTCCGGGCGGCTAACAATAAAAATACAACATAACTTAACAAAACAAACAATACAATAACATTCATCCAGGTCAGATTTTATAAACCCCAGGCCTGCCGGAAAAGCCAGGTCTTCAGCAGCTTGCGGAAAACCAGCAGGGTGGAAGCGGTCCTAATCTCCAGGGGGAGCTGGTTCCAAGACGTGGGCGCCATCACAGAGAAAGCCCTCCTCCGTGGCCCAGCCAAATGGCATTGCTTGGCCGACGGGATCTGAAGGAGGCCCAGCCTGTGGGATCTAACCGGACGAAGGGAACTATGAGGTAGTAGGCGGTCTCGCAAATAGCCTGGCCCTGAGCCATATAGAGCTTTAAAGGTAATAACCAACACCTTGAATTGGACCCGGAGACCAATAGGCAACCAGTGCAGCTCACGGAGGATAGGTGTAACGTGGGTGTACCGAGGAGCACCCGCTATCACTCGCGCGGCTGCATTCTGGACCAACTGTAGTCTCCGAATACTTTTGATCCCCTTTTGTGACCTTCCGACAAGCAAAGTCAACGGGGAAAGCCAGATTCACTTAACAGCCGTGTTGCTAACGTAACATCCGCACTGATTCACTTAACAGCCGTGGCGAGAAAGGTCGTAAAAAGGGGCAAAGCTCACTTTATAAATGTTTCGCTCAGTAACATACATTTGGGGCTCAGTTATGGCTGTAAGTCAAGGAACACCTATACCAGTGATGGTGAACCTTTTAGAGACGGAGTGCCCAAAAACTGGCCCCGCCCCCACTGCACCTCCCTGCTCCGCCCCCGCTCTGCCCCCCCATCCCCCGCCCCGCCTGCCCACAGGACTACTCACCGCCTCCAGGGCCCCCCGCAGATTGCCCAGGCAGCCCAGCAGTGCTATGGCGGCTACACCCTCTGCCCGCGCCCTACAGCATCAACTGCATGATGGGGTGTGAGGGCAGAGTCTTGTCTACGCTGCCTGGCTGCCATGTCCTTGGCTGCGCTGCTCCGTGTGGGCCATGCTCGGGGCGACTCTCCTTCAGGGGGGCTGCTGGAGAGGAGGGGGTCACGGGGGTAGTCGAGGCTGGGGCAATGGCACGTGTGCCCACAGAGGGGGCTACGCGTGCCGCCTCTGGCACCCGTGCCATAGCTTCGCCACCACTGACCTATACACAATTGGGATCAGATTTTCCGTTGTTAAGGGAACCACACCCAATCACACCCATTCATTTAGCAACCGGTCAAAAATTATAATTTGGCTCGGGAAAAAAGTGACTTACGACCGGTCCTTGCACTTGTGACCGTTGCAGCATCTCCACGGTCACGTGTTCGAAATTCAGCTATGAGCCGAGGTGGCGCAGCAGTTAGAGTGCAGTACTGCAG